ATGAAAGGCATTTGAGGCAGCTGTGGCTCAGGAGGTAGAGCAGGTCTTTTCCTACCCGGAAAGTTGGCGGTTCAGTTCCTGGCTTCTCCCGTCTACATGCCAAAGTGTCCTTGAGCAAGACACGTAACCCCCAGTTGACTGTGTGAGTGCTTGGGAGTGTGAATGGCCAAATAGTGTGAAAGTGCTTTGAGTGTGCTGCAATGTGTAGACAGGTGCTATACAAGTATAGGACCCTGCTAATGCAGACATAAGACTTATCGTGCAACCCTAGTTGGTCACAGTAGGTACAGCCACCAGAAATACTCAGAGCGGTGTTGATTCTGTTGAAAGCATCTAACATTAACGCATGCCCAGAACATTTGCAGTGCAGCTACAGCGGTGCTCTCTGTTGTCTGACACTCCTCTCCCTCTCTCCGGTGTTAACGGAGGCTGAGGGAGCAGCTGCACCGAACAGGCACCAGATGGTAACTCAGTAGGAACTGGTATAGCCAGGTTACTACAGCAACATACTGCACATTTTCTGAACACTACATGTCCTCATATTCTGTACTGTCAATCAATATAGATTTAAATCAATAAAATTATTAATGATTAATCAATGATAAATTGATCATTAACATGCCTAGCGGACAGGTACCTCTGAGTTGAGCAGTCTAGGTCACAGGCGAGCTGCATCCAGCAGTTCAAGACCGTCCTCATCTCTACCTGCTTCCAGCACCGGAGAGAAGACCAAGGCCCAAGGAGACTGTTGTGAGGAGGGCATCGATCTGCAGTTGATCTCAGCCATTGTAGAGGCACGATGCACAGTGGTGTTATCTGTGGATTCAGGAGAGGGGGGCATTATCATGAGTATAAAAAGGCTTGAATATGTTCAAGTAGCACAGACAAGTCTGACACGTCCGGTCAGGAGTTTTTAACCGCATTGTCTGTATCACATATTTCTTTTGATGCCAGAGTCTAGAGAAACATGCAGAAAAAGCTGAGCCAGGAGCACGAAGCAAGACTGAAACCTCATCACCTACTTTCTTGTACTGCTGTTTCATGGCCACTTGTGAGCCTAAGACCAAGCCTGGTGCAGGCGTTCTCCAAACTGTGAGACATACTCCAGAACACTTGTTTTGACAGACTGTTGAGATGCCATCAGCTGTTTGCTTGAGCAGCTTCAAATGACCTTGAACTGCATGACCAAAAACTAGTTCATCATCAACAAGACTCCTTCATTCTGTTCCAGTGTCCAACCAGTACCTCTGCAGCATGAACCTGAGGGTCTGATACCAATGCTCCAAGGCTCTCTGAGATTCTGGATGGTAGCTTCTGGACACCAGGTTTTGCATGACCTGTATTAAAAGCACAGACATGAAGTTAGTTCCTTGGTCTGTTTGAATGGTTTTCAGTAGGCCAAAGGTGGTTTAAAAAAAAAAAGCTTAAAGCCTTAATGATCAGAGGAGCAGTGATTCTTCTGAGAGGGGTGGCTTCAGGACAATGAGTTGTCTGTCTTTGGCCAAGGGCCAACACAGTCCACAGTCATATGATCAAGGGTTCACCAAGTGCTGGGACTGGACAAAGAGGGGAGGGGGAACCACATGGTTTGGTTTCCCACTGATCTGACGGGTCTTATACGTACAACAATATTGCACCACATCTGCTTTTAATAAATAAATGTTTAAGTATGTTATTGCATGTTTTTGTGATTCCTAAATACCCCAGCCAAAGATGGTCATGTGCAAGAGACAGGATGTGTTGGTGATAAACAGAAGGATCTGGTATATAAACTGAAAAAAACCTTAGAAAAAATCAACTGGACTTAGATTTCTAGGTCGAAGACCTTTCACCTCTCATCCAAGAGGCTTCATCAGTTCTGACTGATTGGTGTTGAGCCGGAGATATTTATCCCCATCGGTAGTGTTTCAGTCCTTTGAAGGCCAACAGTGTCCCTTAATGACTGAGTCGTTATAACCCAGTATTGGTGAGAGTCGTTACCTGTCTTTGAATCCTCCCCTGTCGACCGACGCCTATTGTCCTGGTGGGCATGTTTGGGCAGAGATCTCAAAACAGGATTGTAGATGGAAGACAAGTTGTGTCTTAGTCCACCACCCCTATTTAGTGAGGGGTGTTCTATTTTTACAAAAATAGCTTCCTTAACTCCTCTCTCAAACCAGCGATGTTCTCTGGAGAGGATCTGGACTTCACTGTCCTCAAAAGAATGTCCTTTGTCCTTCAGGTGG